AAAAAAAAAAAAAGGGATGCCGATAAAAAGAAGAGCAAAAAGAATGGTTTCTGGTGTAGTAGCCACTTTCTCCCTCTCTTTATTTCCACTCTGTATTTATGTGCACCACTGTTTTGGGCCTGTCTTTGCGTTGCTTTTGTAGTGCTTTTTGCTATTTTTTTTTTTTTTCATTGCGCTCATGAGAGTGGGAAGAAGAGGATAGGGAGAGAACGCATGTGAGGTGGTGGAATCACAGCCTCAAAAAGGATGTCGTTCCGGTAGAGCACCGTCGGCGCTTCTTTTAGAAAGAGAGAGAGAGAGAGTGTGTGTGTGTGTGCTTGTGATAACTTTGGGGAACTGGTGCGGAGAATAAGAAACTCCTTATACACATGCATGTCTGCTGTGGACCTTCAGTCTTGTTTTCTTATGAATATCACTGAAATTTTGCATTTGGATAAGTGGCGAGGGGATGTGTGTTGGCACCAGTGCCGGTAATGGGGCTGCGGTATGTGTTTTTTATGGACCACAGAAGGAGATCTTCACTTAAAGGATGTCATCGGAAACTAAAGGATCATCGGTACTACTCCTGTTTTTGTTCTGGAACTTTTGCACTTTTGCTGGTATTTGCTATGCTCTTGGATGAATGCCTCTTGCATGTTGTTTTGTCGTTGTTGCGTTACACGAGGCGCCGAGGTCCATTGACGCAGCAGACCCATCGACAGCCTACATTGTTGGACAACCTCCACTAGTTGTTACGCGTGCTAACGAGAAGAGTGGTGTGAAATGGAGTTTTGGGCGCACTTGTCGCAGGCAGGTTCACCTGCAGCCTCGTATTGAAGACATCATGAGCTGTTAAAAGTATTTTAAAGCTTATGTCTTTTTTTTTTTGTCATTTTTTAGAATTTAATAGGCCCTATGGGAGGGTGTGTGCGTGTCTTGTGTGCCTGCATATTTCTCTCAGATGGTACCTTATTGAATTTCAGCGTCAGAAGGGGGTGTGGTTTATTTTGGGGGTTTCCCTGTTATTTAACTTCTTTGAGATTATTTTCTCCCTTTTTTAAAATTGTTTCTTTCATTGTATTTTTTAACATCAGGACCGACCGATGGAAGAGACGTCGCGCAATCATCATGACCATCCTGCGCGCGACCCGTCCTCACGCGTGGCCATTGCAGTATGTGGCTGTGGCAATGACGGTCGCCTTGGCTTAGGGGAATGTGAATCACAAAGTCGCATTACACTCCTCCCTTTTTTTTTGGAGAGCGCACTTCACAAGAAAAATAGCAATGGGAGCGAGGGAAATGGCACTGAAGAATTAATAGGCGGTATCCGCGCAGTGCGTGTCGGTGGATATCACAATTTTGTCATCACCACGACGGGCGTGTATGGGTGGGGTCTAAACGAAAATGGCCAGCTTGGTTTGGGGAGCCACTCTGCGGCGTGTGTGCCGCTTCCCACCCGCATTCCCTTTTTTAATGAAATGACCGTTATAGACATTCAATGTGGTGCCTACCACACTTTTGCATGGACCACAAATGGGCTTTTTGTGTGTGGAAAAAATACTGATGGGCAGCTTGGTTTACCAGGTGAGGAGGATCACTTCTCATTTACGATGTTGCTGACGGCTGCGCAGGCCAACAACAGCAGCGTCAGGGAGGATGAAGAAAGTGGCGGGTGCCGTCTTATTCAACGGGGTCAGCTGACACATATGAGCTGCGGTACGCACCATACGCTTCTTGCGTTCCGTGATGTATTTGTGGTGAAAGAAATTCAAGACGAGACGCAGCAACAGCACTACCAGCTTCTTATCGCGGCGGCGGGGAAGGGGGATTTTGGTGAACTCGGCTACGACGGAGACATGTGGTCTGTACTAGAGGCTAAAACAAAGGCTATGCAATCCGCACTGTGCCATGGGTTACGGCGGCAGCAGGAAGAAAAGGATTCTGACGCCGCTATGCGTATCTCCCTTGAGAAGAGTTGGAAGCCATTGAAACCTCGTCGAGCCGTCTTTTCCTCTTGGTGCTTCCAACCGGTGCGTCTCCCCATTCTACTTGATCCAATTGAGGCACCATCGGATAAGCCCACTTGTGAAATTGTGAGCCTTCATGCAATGCACTTGCATTCCGCAGTGGTTCTACGCGATAATTCTGTGGAGTCACGGTCCGGTGGTGTCGGTCGCAAGCGAACCTTTCACTGGGGCTGCTACTACCTCAATGTTTTGGAGGATGACGCCTCCTCTATTCCGCGTGAAGAAGAGAGAGAAGAAGTTTCTCTGCACGCAGGCAATGAATCACTGTTCCGCTACTCCACTTCGGCCTCCACCTCCCACGCCGCGGTAGAGGTGATAGGGAGCGGCGTGCTTGGGTTGGGCGAAGAGGATTCATTTGTGAAGTCTTGGACCCCGTTGCCGCTCCCTCAAGAGGCAAAAAACCTTTGCGTCCGAGCCATCACTGGGAGGGAGCATTATCTTATCCTGCTAGAGGATACCCTTGTTGTTGGATTTGGCGATAATATGCACGGGCAACTTGGAGCTGGATGTGTGGAGGATGTCGTGTTGGATCCCACTGTCGTTCTTCGAGCCGGTGACGCCGTGAGAAGTCCTGCGTCGTTGGCCGGGGAGGGACTTTGGAGGGTGGAGGCCATTCACGATGCAGCTTGTGGTGCACGTCATTCCGTTTATCTCTTGAAGATTTCTCTAGTAACTTCTGCGGAATCCAGCTCCACACCTCGTGGGTAAGCGAGAGATGACCCGAGAAGCACCGTTGCTTCACAGCGTTTTATTGATTTGAAGAAGCTTGGCGGGAGAAAAGTAAAATGGAAGAGTGACACGGAAGAAGAAAAGGCACCACGTGCATCGGCCCACACGTGTATAATATATATACTGGTGCATGTGTGTGTCTGTGTGTTTGGGTTGGTGACTTTCTCGCTCTCTGCGTATTCTCTTCTTTGATGCCAGGAGGGAATTATTTTGTCTTTAACGCGGTGCATATTCTTTTATTATTTTTTCATTTATTTCATGGGTGGCAGCACCTTTTTTAGTCCGCAGCAGCAGCTGGAGGGCAAATTACGCACAAGAAGAAAGAAGGAATTGCTCTTTAATATTATTTTTTTAAAATTTTGCACACAAATTTTTTTTTTTTTTCCTTTTAGCTTTATTGTGGATGCTTCGTTACCCCTTTATGCGGTGCGTTAGAGGGAGTGGCGTAAGTGTCACCACAGATATTCTTTATTCCTCTTTTTGGAGGAATTGCAGTACGCTTACTAACGCTTCCTCAGACAGTTCTGTTCACCCAGACCTCATTGAAGAACTAAAAGAACTTCTGGAGCGTGTTCCCGCTGAGAAGTGGATCCCGGTTGGAACGCTCTACAACGATCTCTCTCTCGATAGCCGCAGACGCCATGTCCGACCGCATAAAACACTCGCAGCGGCATTATCGAAAGCTACTGGGCTTGGTGTGCATTTGAATCAAACGGGTCTCATGTTTTGCAAGGGGATTCCACCAAAAGAGATTGATGTACCGTCAAGAGAGACAACAGATCAGACTTCTAATACTACTCCCTGCAGTGGTGATAAGGAGGGTGCGGGTGTTTGTGGTTCCAGTGGCAGCGGTGCCAGTTCAGAACAAGCAGCTGGGGTTTTTATGCGACCCACGGAAAGGGTAACGGTGGATACTTCCAGTGATATACCGCCTGTGGATTTCTATTATGATGTTGGGCTTCGAGATTATCCTCCCCCACCCCCGGACTTCGATGTAACCGCATCAACGTTGCCTTCTCCAACAATGATGGGGAATGGGGCGATTCTCTCACTTAGTAGTTTTGTTTCGTACATTCCACCATTCTTTGTGCCGCTGGGAGAAGTTCTGAAGGAGATGCCTGGATACACGGAGGAGCACATTGAAAGATATTTTCAGCATCGTGCCTCAGAAGTAGTCACAGTGGCTGGGCGAAAATATATTCGGCTTTATGGTGGTTATGCGAAGTTTCCATTGGACGGTTGTGAAGTGGCCGAAGAGCGTTTTGAACGATATAGGCCTGATCCCCTCGTACTAAAGCCATTTATTGACTCCTTTGGAGGCATTACGGGGCGTTGGATGCCACTTCGGATTCTGTTAGATCGTGCAGGACATGCGGCGGTAGAGAAGTTGCCATTTAAGGGGCCTGCTTCCATTATTTATTTTGCCCAAATGCAACACGTTTTTGCTTTTGCCGTTGACCGTGACGGGGGCTCGGTGCTTCTGCGTCCACCGGGTTACGATGGCCTTGAGTGTGAGACGACACCGACCCCAAAGAGTTGTAACTGCATCCTTCGTCTGGTTCCACAGGACGGACAGGTGGATATTCGCCACATTGAAGAGTCCATCCCTGTCTCGGTTCAGGAGGAGGTGAAAATATTTTACGGCACGCTTCTGCAATTTTTTCGGTTTCATGCCGCCGTCTTTTCTCTCTCTGCAGATGGCTCTGTGGTTATGCGGCGTAGATTTAAGGATCGTATTGACAAGGATCAGTTGTCCCTGGAGGAACAGCTGGCTATTGCCATCAGTGAACGGAACAAAAAGAAGATTCGCTCCCTCCGACGCCGCATTGCCTTCCGGAATGATCCATCGAACCCCTTTCACGACCCCGACAACCTCGCGCGGGAGCTTCATCGTTATCTTCCCAAGAAAGGCCATGTGCCACTCAAAACGTTTCTCAAGAAAAACGTGCCGGAGGAATTGCTGAATTACCTGCCGCGTAGATTTTGGAATTTCTTCAACAACTACCCGCAATACTTCCAACATTTTGAATATCAGGTGGCGGGGCAGTGGTGTATTTGCCAGCCGGGTCTGCCATTACCGCGTGGCGTCATTCGGCAAGAATTCTCAGAGGAAGACCTTGTTCGGTTGGTAGCCGAATTTCTTCAGCAGCGTGGACCAAAGGCATGCTCAACTATTATTCTTCACATCCCGCGTGGAGCGCAGGAGGCTGTGCGGAAGCGTTACGGTGGTGTATTTTACCTTGTGCAGGCATTTCCACAGTACTTTAATGTTGTATTGCCTGCCGAAACGGGTAATGTTGTAAGCATGGCGATGGTACACCTAGTGGAGCTGCCTGGTGCGGAGTTCACAGGCAGGAGTGGGCCATCGAATGCTGTGGTGGATAAGGAGGGAGGGAAATGGGATGAGAACGAAGATATTGACGACGAGGAGGAGGACGAAGACGGAGCGTTGGCGACCTCACGGTAGTCATAGGGGCAAGAAAAAAAAAAAAAGCAAACAAAAAGCAAACTTTATACCGGACTTCGGGAGGGCGACAATATAAAACGAAAAATAAGGAGGATCTTCCATTAGTCCACTGCTTTGTTGCCCATCCCTCAGTGTTGTCGTTTTACTCACATAATTTTGTTTTGTATCATCTCGTTACTCTCTTATTTTTGTACTGTCAACAATAATATGTCCATGTGTCTGTTGCTGCGGGTGCTTCTGCGACTTTCATCTTTTTTTCTTCTTTTTCCTTTTTTTGCCTTTCCCTGTGGCTTTTATTTCTCATGTGTGTGTGGCTGTGTGCGGAAGGGGGAGCCTTTGTTTTTTCCTTTATTTCCTTTTTTTTTTTTTTTTTGTCTCCGTGGGGCCTTCATTTCGCGTGCGCAGTGGTGGTGGGCGGGCAGCGGCAACGCGGTCCAGAAACAAAAACAAAAAAAACAAAACGCCGGGGGTGGTGGCTCAATTCGCATGGCCGTGACCGGCTGAGGTGAACCCCGCAAGACGACGCGACGCGTACAGAAAAGAGGACCGCATTTGCAGCAAGAGAAAGAGACACGCATGCGGATCGACCTCTCGCGAAGAAATCTCATTGACTTTGATTCCGCCGCCTTTTCCACAGACGATGACCGGGAGCTTCTCATCTCCATTACTCGGTTAGATATCTCTTACAACAGCATCTCTTCCCTTTACGGATTGCGCTGTCTTTCCACATTAGGGTCGTTGGATGTATCAAACAACAACGTCACGTCCTTGCGGGGACTTCCACCGCCACTAAGGCAGTTGAATGCATCGTTCAACGCATTGACGGACGTAGAGGGCCTGTCACCGCTTCTTCATTTGGAAGTATTGGTGGTTTCACATAATAAAATTACAAGCCTAGAGGGCATCCCAGCATCCGTACGCATTATAGACGCATCCAGTAATCGAATTGCGTCACTCGAAGGCCTTGAGGGATGCACTTTACTGGAAGAACTGCAGGTTCGGCAAAACCTCATTCAAAATTTGGAGGGGATAGCAATGATCAAATCTCTTCACTCGCTCAAGGCAGTGACACTGGCGGAGAATCCAGTAACAAGCAGCAAACGAAGTGCTGCTGCAGTTTATGCCATTTTGCCACCGACTCTGCAATTTGTGGATTTACCATCCGAATCTTGGATGAACCACACTTCTGCTGCGTCTTCTTTTAGTCACACCGCGTCAGTTAACACCGCCACCGTGCGAGACACGATAAATATCTCTTGTTTCTCACCCGACAGTACGGTGAGAACGAGCAAGGGTGCCTCAACTCGTGGAAGCTCTTCTCTTTCCGCGACGTCGTCTTCCCATGTATCGTTGCATACGAAAGATGAAAATGAAAAACGGAAGCAACCGCCTTCAGAGGATAATATGACGTCTTTCATTGCAGTAAATGACGTCAAGGCAGGTGCACCGTCTTTTCACTTGCACAGAGAAGTTTCTTCTTTCTCGGATACGGATCAGCACAGCACTTTTTATGATTCCAGAGACGTAACTCACATGCAAGGACCCAAACGACAGCAGGCACTCTCCGATGTGAATATCTCGGCTCCCAACATACATGCACAACACATGACTCCTTCCCTGGAGCATCTTCAGTTTGAACTCGATGAGTGCCAGAGAACGTGTTTGTTTTATAAGATGGAGAACGAAGAGTTAAAACTTCACATTCAGCAGTTGCAATCCAAAAATGAGTATCAGGAGCGGATGAACACCATCCTATTGGAGAGGAACCAGAAGCTTCAACTTCTTTGTGCCGGCTCTTCTCCGCTGCAGCAAGGAGAAATACCTTCTGCTTCAACGGACATGAAGCACCATGTGGAAGGTGGCGGTGCGGTTCAATCAAAATCTTTATTGATGGGGCCGTTGATAGGGCCCTGGAACAAAAGTAGTGGTAATGTGAGAACAGAAGCATCAGGAGATGATTCTCAGCATTCCCACGTGGAGGAGCTTTCAGGAGAAGTATCTTCACTTGAAGCAAGGGCTGAGCTTCGCCGCGGAGCTCGTTCACTGGCAAGATTGTTTATGTCTTTGGTTCTCAAACCTGAATTACGGCAGCCGCGGTGTAGCAGTCCCTCTACGGCTGATGCAGCCGCTTCTAATGATAATACCAATAACAATAATAATAATATTTTTTGTCATCATTTAATTTCTCCACAAACTGAAGGTGGTGCAAACAATATCAATGCGAAGGAGAGGAGCGGTTTGAGAGACACAAATGCAGGTGATAAGGGGCGTAAACGCAGTGTTTCATTTGGAGGATTCGCATACTATTCGCCTCCGCCCTGGTAGGTTTGGATGTTGCCGCAACTGAACGTTCAATTCCAAATTGGTGAGTGTTTGCGCGTGTGTAATGCGGCGAGGGAGAGGAAAAGGATCATTATTTAATTATTGCTATTATTTTTTGTTCTTCTCTCTTTTCACTTCTGCTTGGGTGTATGTGTTTGTCTTGTAGATGAATGCATTGTTGTATGGTTCTGTTCTGTATTGTCGTTTTCTTAATCATTTTGAGCTTTTTCCCCATTTATTATTTAAATGCACCCGTTTGCACCTGAGATGTAGATGTGAAAGACAAGTACTAATGATTCTCTCTTTTAATTTTCCCACCTCTACCCACTTTGCTTACTTTGATATTGTAATGAGGTAATTGGGAAATGTCCCGTTCATGCTCTCCACAAAGGGTAAAGAATGGCCTTGGTCAAAAGGACAGGCACCGTGGGCCTCAGAGTCCTACGCATTGTTTGTTGTTACACTCGTTTGAGGAATGCGGCGATTTACCCGTGACATGTGTAACGGATGGGAGCATTTCACCTGGGCCTTATGGGCAACTGCAGGACGTAATACCTTTTTATGGAAATAAGAAGGGGAATGTAAAGGCATTTCAGTTTTGGAATGGAAGAACTATAGCAACTGCGGGGCAAAGAAAGATGGCGTCAGTGACCGCATTACTTTTAATCCCTGGGCGCTCTTTGTTGTGGTGCGGCGACGAAAAGGGCGTCGTCACGGTTTTTAGACTCCCTGCCAAGGAGGGGTGGATACATGGCGAGTTATTTTTTTGGGACGGTACCCTCTGTGGCGCGGATCACCCTGCTTCCGTCACCTGCTTTGCTGCAGATGGTAATAATTTTGTTTACAGTGGATCTGCCGACGGCACCATTTTTTCATGGTCGATGGGGGATTCATTTGAGTTTGCCGGGAAGGTTGGCCAACACACAGGGGAATTGGCGCAAATGGTCCTTGTGTGTGACGATTACCTTGTCTCGGTGGGCTCAGCTTCTGCGATGGTGCATGTTTGGCCTCTTGGTAACAAAAGAGTTGAGCAGGAACCATTTGCTCTCAAGGGTCACTTGGGGGGTGTACTTAGTTGCCTTTATGTTGGAAAATGGTGCGGTGGAGGAGGTCTTCTTTGGAGTGCTGGGGAAGATTGTTTTATTCATGTGTGGGATGTCAACAACCCCGTGCATTTTGGCTGCCGCATTAATTGTAGGGATGCGGAGAATGGGGAGATGATGGACGATCACACCCTTTTTGGGGTGAGGGAAGAAGAGGAAGAAGTGAGAGCGGGGTTGGCAGAGTCTCTGGGAAGGGAAGATGACTCTCTTCAGGTCAACTCGCTTCGGTTGCTTGTTGGGCACAAGGAACCAGTTGTTGCACTAAGTGCGGCCTCCGGCATACTTTTTTCCTGTGATACTTCCGGTTTGATTCTAGCGTGGAATCCGGAGCGTTATTGGCTGCTACATGCCTTTACCGTGCCTCGCGGTGAACGTTTAATTCAGTCTCCATCAAATGTCCTCGCTGACAGAGGCAAATCTGTTCTGGTTGAGGCGGTCCGTGGGGCGCATTGCCTTGGATTCATAGAGGGATTCTGTTGGATTATTGACACTGCTAGAGGTCCACGGTGCATTTACATGCCCAGCCATACAAGCATGAAGAAGTTACTGTGTAACGGAAATACGGATGCTTCCCCTTTTTCTGGTGAGCGTGCAGTTTCGACTGCGTTCATGCATTTGAAGGAGACGTTTACGCACGATACCGTAAGTCTTTTTCTGCAGTATATAGAATTTCATGCTGAGGTCTTTGTTCATGCGGCAGCGGTTTTGCTGCAGTGGGATATGCCGCCGCAGTGTGGTTCCTGTTCTCTGGGAAGCATCGCCCAAACCTTTTTGCCTGGAGGGCCTAACAAAAGATGCGGGCAAACCGTCTCTGCTTTAATGCCTCGATCACCGTGTGAGAGGTGTGCGGAGATGCACGATCTTCAGACCGCACGCAGGGCGGTGGAAGATGAACGCGGGTTGTTTGCCGCGCAACGGCAGAAAGAAGAGGAGCGGTGGCGTATGGAACGTCAAAGTCTGAATGAAGAGGCAATTCGTTTGGAAGAACGAGCCGAGGTGCTGGACCGCCTCCAGACGACTCTCCTGGAGAAGGAAAGGCGGCAAGAATACATAGTAAAAGAGCATGAGGAGCTTTTGCGTTCTCTGAAAAAGCGAGATCGAGATCGAGAACGGCAGCTAGCACGCGTTAGTACTGAACTTGCGTTTCTTCGGTTGAAATACGCTGACTGGGGTGGTGTCAGGGAGAGCGGTATGTGAATGGGTGAGCCCATACCATGGAGGGTGACTTGTGGTGTTCTATGGCCCTATAGCGAGGAGGCGTGACAAAATTTTTGTGGCGACGTTAAATAAACAACAATTTTCCCTTCACAAATACGTTTTTTTTTCTTTTTTTTCTTTTTTTGCATTTGGTTTGGCTGAACGCGTAGAGACAAAGGCACATACATAAATAATAAAATACTGGCACATAGACATATAGACCTATATACACAAGCAAACATATATACATATATATATATACATAGAGAGAGAGAGTTAACCATTCAAGGATGATGAAGCTTCATCGCATTCTGCGTAGTCTACCTTTTGTACCAATGGCTTTATCCACCTTTGATACCATAGAACGCTCTGCAGCTTCTTCTACTGCCACAGATTCAACATCGCATTCATTTGTGTCAGATGGTCCACCATACTTCATCTCACCGAAGCATGACGGAGTGCGCATCCTGTCGTACGTGAGTGAACATGCCGAATCCCTCAAATCAACGTGTTTTTCTCGCTTTGGGCGACCTGTTCATGGCATGTTTTGGATTGAAGAAGAACTCCGTCTCTTGCGATGGCTCTGCGGAGACCCACGGCTGGTCTTGGATGGAGAGCTATACGTTCATAAAGAGCCTCATGCACGATCAACGGGTGACGATGGGGCTAGAACCGGGTTTTTCTCTGTTTCAGCTCTGGTGCATCGTTTGCGCGGGCCTAAATCGGCCTGTTCCTCTGAGGAGGAGGTGCTCAGTTATGTTGCGTCACTCCCCCGTTTGTGTGTGTTTGACATTGTTTCCTTTCAGCCATCGGACAAGACAAATTTGTCTGAGGAGAGCAGTGGGCGAGGCCTTTCGCGGATTGAGAAGGAGCGCGTGTCGCTTCTCCGAGAGGTGATGAAGGCCAATGGCGTTCGTGATTTAGAAATGCTGCGTGTCATTCCAAATTATTCAGTCTTTTCACAGCGATTGAAGGCGATGCATTTTCTAATGTGCGTCTTGCATCGCGCCCGCGCCTCTTCTATTTTGTTCCCTGGCAGGGCTGTGAGTGTCACCACCTCCAAGAAACATGAGATGAAAAGACGAAACGGCAACTCTTCCGATATGGCGGTGGGTGTGACAAACGTCGGTGGGGAGTATTTGCAGCTTGTGAAGTACTCGCTGCTTCACTCCCTTGACGATGCAAAAAAGGTGTATCTCAAGAAATATCTCTCATGCGGGTATGAAGGTGCCGTCATTCGCAGTGCGTCAAATGTGTATGAGCTGAAGGAGAAGGAAAGAGGTGTCTTACTGGGGCTCTTGGACCCACTCATTTCCGTGGGGGAACGCCCGTTTGTGAACAAACAGGCTGCCTGCTGGCCAAAGCGGTCGCTTCTGGTGGCGGAGGCCCCGCCACTCCTTCGCACATATGCCAAGAACGGATTGCTCGCTTCCATGGGTTCTGGTGAATACGATTGGACGGATTTTGTAGCGGATGAGAATGAAGCAGAGGAGGCGAATCACCAGGCTGTCGTGGGGGCAGCAGTAAGGCGGGCAAAGCAGAATGCTCGCCGTAGCACCACAGCTGTCAAATTGCTTCCGTTTTGTGACAGGGAGTATGCAATTCTAAAGCCACTGCTGAAGATACCGTCAGCCAACCCACGCGCTCGAAAACTTGTTAGCGTTCCTCTGAAATTGCTTCACGGAGGTCGTGATGCCATCTCAGTCCCTCGGACCGCTTTTGGGAAGGCCGCGTCCAAGAAGAATGAGAAGAGCAAAGTGGCAGTTTTTTACGGTCTGCAGTGTCTCAGCGAAACGGGGCGTGTGTTTAACGTTTCACTTCCCAAGATGGATGTCGCGAAGCAGCGAGCCTTGCTGGATCACCTCTTGGAAGTGACAGGGGGCTCCAGGAAGATGGGTGGGAAAAGAAACACTGGGGGAGTTGGTTGCCGTTCACTGACTGGTTTGTACGCCACGGTTAAGTATTCTTCACTCACGGAGTACGGCATTCCGCGTTTTGGTCAAGTGAAGGCCATACGCGGAGGCAAGGGATGGTTTTTGTGAAGCACACCGCATCTCACTAACATGACTTACAAATAATTTTTCGATGCGTGTTGTAAACACAGCATTCATGCATATATATATATAATCTGAGTGTTTTTTTTATTTTGGTGGGTGTTTGGTGTTAATTTGGGTATTGGATAGATAAATGGGGGGGATGCGAAAGAGGTGATTTGTACAGATGATGACGAAGAAGAGTGAGCAGTACACAAACATTTTTATGCACATGTATGTATGTATAATATATATATGTGTGTGTGTTCGTGAAGAATACGTGTTTAAATTCCACCGTTTGAGGCGTGCAAATGGAATGCGAGTTTAAAAAAAAAAAAAAATTTTTTTTTCTTCATGCATTTATCCTTTGACACGTTCTTTATGTCTTCTCTGTTTTGTGGTGATTTATACCTGGTGGGTAAGAGTAACGCGAAGTGATACACATGGGCAAGAAGGCAAACTTTGAGCGTGCACACCAGCGTCAGGTGCAACACACACGAGAACAGCGCAAGCGGAAGGTTGCTGCTGCCAGGGCGTTGCGAATTGGCGAGGATACCAATGGGAGACGCATTCAGCGCAATTCTCTGCCCAGGGTCCGTCTGTCCGATGAAAAGAAGGCGATGCTCGTGGAACAGTTCACGCAGGCGTGTCGGCTTCCCGCCACTTCTGAGGATCTTTGTATGCTGCTGCGTTCGGCGTGTGGGGAAAAAACCCAAGACGATGCTTCTCGCAAGCGACGGCGCGAGGAAACGACGATGGATGGATCCAATTTGGGCACCATTGTGGATGCATTTCTGCAATTGGGCCATCAGGCCGCCATCACGACGGATGAAAGTGATGAAGATGAGCCCATGACTCTACTCGAGGATGTCCTTCAAGATGAGTGTGGGGGCCGTGTGGTGTGTGCCTTGATAGCCGCCCTGGACACCTCCAAAAATGACAAGAAGCCAATGGTGCTAGATGCCGTGACCAAACTGTTCGAGGAGAATGAGACCCTCCATGAACATTATGTCGCTTGTAAAGTGATGAGTTCGCTGGTTCAATATGGCGACCGTGAGGTACAAGAAAGAGTTCTCCATGTGTTGCAGCAACATGCCAAAACAGTGGATCAGCTGCAGGCGCAACTCCGCAATCGTCACTCGGCTGTAACGATCCAACATCTCATTGAGCATTTCCCCAACGAGACTTTGGCGTGGTTGGGTGAAACACTCGGTGTCACGGAGCTTTTGGCTGGAAAAAAAGTGGCAAAAAAGAAGAGGATGAATAAAACGAACCATGACGAATGCGACCGCCGCGGTACTCTGCTTCTGTTGATACTGGATCCCGTGGCTTCTCCAATTATTCGAGCGCTTATTTCTCGCTCTGTCAACACTTCCGCCTTCTTGGAGAATATGGATCTTGTAATGCTTCTTGAGACAAAAAGGGGTTGTAAGTTCTTGCAGGATATTTTGTCCCCTGCGTTGCCGAAGTGGAATTCTGAGGGGGAGGCGACTGTGACCTTGGATGTCGTCATGAAATCCTGTGAGACCAAGCTTCTTGAGATGTGCACATCCATTGATGCCAACTTTGTTGTGCAGGCTATCATTGGCCTTATTCCGCGTACAGAGAAGGCGTCGACGGATAGATATTTTAAACAGCTTTTGAAAGTATTGGGACCCCATCTTTCTTCTTTGGCGACACATTACATTGGTGTGCATGTGGTAGTGGCACTTGTCGTCTCGTCTCACTTGACTCCTATGGGAGACATGGTGGAGGAAATTGCGGGGACAATAATAACAGGAAATAATGTGGCTGATATGCTTTGTGACTCCAATGGTAGTTTGGTTGTACGGAAGCTTCTGCCATGGTGTACAAGAAAAGGATCTAAAGTGGGACAGATGCTTCTTAAAGCCATTAATCAAGACATGAGTTCCTTGATGTATGATGCCATTGGAAATTTAACGCTACAAGAATATATTAAGGTTTGTGGGGGAGAGGAAATTGCTCGCAAGCTGTGCAAGAGTGATGAGCTTCTGAGTATGTGTCAGCATACGTACGCATCTCATGTTGTCGGATCTCTTTTTGAAAATGTGGGAGCGACGACGCATACAAATCTCTGTCATGCACTTCGGCCACATGTTTTGACATTGTCCAGGCATTTGAATGGACGTTTCATTGTTGAGAAGGCAATTCATGCAAATCGTGACATCTGCGATCTTCTCCTTCGTCATTTTATGGAACTGGCGTGTGAAAAGGGGACACAGCATGTGTTGTGTACGTTGATGTTGAATTCGGACCAACGTGGCAAGGAGTGGGTTGTGAATACGGTTATATCTGGCCTCGTCGATCTTGCCACGCAGCAGTGTGGCTCCATTGTGCTGCAAAAACTGATGTTGGCTGATGCGCTGCTGCTCGCTGCCGTGAAGAAGGAGCTGGCGCAGAAGCCGCGACTGCGAAACAATCTCGCTCAGAACTTTTTTGGCAAGTTTGTGGTGCAAATAACTGATGCTGCGGGTGAGCAAGGTTCCCCTCTTTTCCCGAAGGCTTAAACGAAGAAAAAGAAGTGAATCTTTTTTCCTTTTCCACGTGCTTTTTTAAAGAGGAGGAAGGTTAAAATGGTGAGCGGGTGCGATTAAACGGACGCCGACCAGTGGGAAACCCACGTCTCGGAGGATTTTTTTAAATAAAATTTTTTGTTGGTTTCAGGCGGTGAAATTAAACTAAAACATTCTTCTTGTCTCTTTTTCTTTTCTCAAGCGCTAGCGTTTTCCAAAAGGGTCGATGGTGGCCGACGGTGCTCGTTTTAACGCCCTGCGCCCCGCGGCAGGGGCAATCGAAAGGGTTCGGGGCCGTGCAGGCGGAGACACCTGCCCGCCTCACGGCGTTGCGGGGTGACCTGGATGAGCTTCTGTCACGGTCCGCCGCGTCCTACGCGGAGTGTGGGCGGCTGGCGCCGCATCGCGTCATCGCCGCCGTGGAAGCCGTGCATTCTTTTTCTTTTTTTAGTGTTTTGGCGCGCTTGAATTCAGCATGCATAAAAAAAAAGCAAGGGGAAAAAATTGACGAGAGTGGGGTTTGAACCCACGCCCTCGGAAGGATTGGAACCTTAATCCAACGTCTTAGACCACTCGACCATCTCGCCGGCGCAATTCCGCAGTTTTTGGGGAGGGAACACATAATTTTAAATTTTATTTAAATTTATTTGATAAAACCAAAAAATGTGCGCCGTCCGGGAATCGAACCCGGGTCAATACCTTGGGAGGGTACCATCATGCCACTAGACCAACGGCGCACTGACAGCCGCGACGTAAATTAGAAGGGGGAAAAGATTCATTTCATCTTTTTTTTTTTTTGTGTTCAGTTGGCTCTTGAAACAAGTTTTCCGCCAGACGGGGTTTTGGAGATGATGGCGCTTATTCTTCAACCAAACTTCTCTTTCGCGTGTCAGCTGCTTTTTGTCTTCTAAACTACGAACTTGGAGGACAGTAGGGGCGTTTTTTTTTTTTCACCCCAACCTATCCCCTGCTGCTTTCCACGCTGAGGGGGCGGGCGGTTGAAGGACACTCGGGGCTGCCACTGTTTTGGCGGGGGCCCCGCTTATCATCCGTGTTTTTTGTGAGTTTATTTTCTCTTCTAGTTTAAGGGTGTTGGGCAAATCGCTTTCTGGTTGGGGAATGTTGGGCATAGCAAAAAAAAGCATTGGGCCTTCCACTGTTGTGCGCTCCCTCTTTTTGTAGGGATTTGCGAATATATCAACATGCGGGCGAGATTTTCAGTCATAAATTGCTGGAAAGAAATGAAATGAATTTTTGCCCTTTTATTATTATTTTATTTCAAATGGATTTCTCCCTTTCTCTCTCTCTCTTTTTTTTTTTTTGTTGTTGTTTACCTTTTGCGTTTCATATGATTTTTGTTTTCTCATTCTCGTTTTTACTTTTTTTTTCCCTTTAATTTTTTGAAATGTGTTTTGCATTTTTTCAAGTAAAAATTTTGTAGGGAAGAAGATTTCTACACTTCCAAACAAACACACACACACATACACATACGCATACACACACACACACACACACAAAATCAGTTATGCTAAACATAAATGCAAAGGCCTTTGTACCGCAGTCTGCTCTGGAGCATCTGGTTAATCCTGGTAATGCAATCTACAGGTATCATTTAACTTTACCTATACATAGCGTGTGTGAAACGTCGCAAGGGAACTCAATATCCAATAATATACACACACTTTTGGCAAAACGATGTTTGTGTAGCTCTTTTCAGGGTGGACTGGGTGAGGAACCTCTTCAATTGTTCCTTTCTTCTTTTTTTGATGCTGTGGAAAATGTTCCATTTTTGACAAAAAGGAACAATGCTTTATCAGGTATTATTCTCTCACGCACTATTTTGTCTTTAACCAGTGCCATTACTTCAATTAATGCGATCAATGAAGCGTCAGGATTTTTAATACATGTGGATATGCCAAGAGAATACCGTGCAGAAGTTGCTCTTCGACTTCGAGCCGCATGGGATGACTTTTTTGAGTTTGTTCGCGGCGATCTTAGAATCACATCTTTCGGTTATGTGGGCTCTTCATGTGGAGCTGAATCGGGCATTCGATATAAAGGGACTTTTCGTCATTATTTTTTTCTTTCATTTTCTCCCTTTAACTATTTTTCTGAACAATTAATCATGGATTACTTAAGAAGTTTTCCAGTTCCTTTTCTTCGAATTGTGCAATTGAATGCGATTGTGCCATTCATTTGTAATTCGAGGATACCGATGGGTTTAGTGATTTCAGTGGGAGAGATAGCAAAGGAAAAATTACTGTCAGACGGAAAACCCGATAAAACGTTTTCTATTTTTTTTAGCCCTTATAATGTATCAGAAACATCCAAATGCCTTGGTGAATTTGAGGAAATGTTTGTATCTTTTTTAAAAGAGTATAGCTTTTTATTGGATCGGACCTATATTGTACACATTGACATTCAAATTCACGGTAAAGATTCTCAAGAAACTCGACCTATTCCAGTTTGGGATTTGGTTCATTTTATTGGTAACTTGTGTGAGGATACAGCAACTAGTGTTTTGGGTGTTTGTTTCAGTGATGATACAATTGAGGAAAGTATACAATTGAATTCATCCAATAGAGAGGGTAATGTGTGTTATTTGAATGAAACTCTTAAAAAAATATTAGAGGATGGTCATTCATTAGATATTTGTAAAACTTATTTTGGTCACATCCCAGCTTACGTAAAGAGACCCATGACATGTATTCAGTATGAATTTGCTCGTAAAAATTTTGAAAAATGGTTGGCCATAGACTATGAACCTATCCCTTTTACACGCATGGTGTTTGCGGATGCAGCAGATAGCTTTGCTAAAATAAAATATTACGTGAGAAATAGAATTATCGGTGAAAAAATTCTTCTCATTACAGATAATCAAGGAGATATTTTTGCTGCGGAGCTGAAAACTGGAAGTGTTTTTGCATTACCTCATTGTTTTGGCGGGGTTTCTGGCCCAATAAAGAATACTGTGTTTGAAGCTGTGTTAACTTCTTCATTTCGAGGATACCTCGAATGTATTATTTTGGTTGAAGACATTCTGAGTTTTGAGGGGAAAGATGTAAAAGAAATGAATTTTACTGAAAGATGGCATCATGTTGAAAAACTGTTGTTGGATGATCAAGATAGCCAACCTCATACAAATCCGGATCGTGTTCTTATTGTTCGTACATCCTACGCACCTTTTGATCAGGTTGAGCAGGTGCTGCAAAATCCACCCTTGGAACAACCAACTTTGGGTTTGGTTTTGGTTCCTCAACATAGTACAATCGGAAACAAAAGAACTTTTTCATATATTTGGGTTCCTTTAGAATCGATAACAGCCAGATTTTTTGTTGGAAAGGTGGAGGATGTTCCAGATACAAATTTTGAAATAAAGCGTGCGTGGTTGAATGTGAGGGGTAAAGATAACAAGATTGTCCCATACAATGAGGAGTACGCAGATTATTCAGTTGTTGCGCATCGTTTTCTTGAAAGTGGTTCTGTGATTGATTGTTTGCTTCGGAGAAGTGATGATGGAGCACATTGGTGGGAAATAATTAGGGATTACAACGAGAATCAAGGGAAGCGACCTCATTCGTATGATTTTGCGGAAAATTTGGTACATGTTCCAGGATTAACATATGAGGAAATGTTGTGGTTACTTAAAGCCCATTCTTTTAAGTGTGGGCGCTGTCAGACTGTTAGTGATGTTGGGAAAACAAATCCCAGATATCAAACATACTGGTGTCAAAAATGTTGGGAAGAAACGGGCCATGGCGAATGTTTGTATTGCGGACGTCCCTGTAGTATGGGAAGAATTGATTCTTACAGTCAACGCTTTTATTGCGATAACTGTTGGGATATTTTTTCTTCTACAAACACAAATGCGGAAATTGGTTACATGGTCCCACCTCCACCAAATGTTTCTTTTCAAACTCAAGTTTTAACACGCTGTGTTTCAATATTGATTGACAGTATAAATTCCAAAGCACCTACTAATGATGTGCTGGAGCTTTGCTGTGGAGGTGCTGTTACACGCAAATGGATTAAAAACAAAACTAATCGTTATGTTGGGTTTGATTTAAAATCCAGTGTAGTGGAATCAACTATGGAAATTATTTCTTCTTTTCAAGATGAAATTTCAGATTTGTCAAGTTACGACGTTATCTGTGCCGATGCTTTTTCTACAGAATTATGGACGTACCACATTACAAAGATTCATCCTAGACAATTTCATACAATTACAGTATTTGCCGGATTTCATCATGCTTTTGAAACGGAGATGAAAATACGTCATTTACTATATAGTATAGCTAATACATTGGTTCCTCGAGGAGTATTTCTTGGGTGCTTTTTTGATATTGGTATTGTTTACGAAAAAGGTGAAATTACTAATGACTTGTTTACGGTTGAATGGGACGATGACTTTCTGCCACGAAATGGGCACTCTTTTTTTATTTCAATGCAAAATGAACCTAAGAAAAAAATGAATGTGGTGGCAATTGATTTCTTAGTTGCTGTTGCGAAAGAATATGGACTTATTGTGATCCCTGAGGTATGTTTAACCTTTTTAGATATGCTGGAGAATGATCCACATTTTACAATGAAATTTTCAAAGGGTGAAAAAGAGTATCTGCGGGCCATGAGAACCTTTGCATTCCGAAAGGACGGTCATCCGCAGCCATGCGCGCTACATAAAGCTAATATTAGCGATGGTGGAGGGGAATAGTCTGTGACACGGTTGCATTCTTTATTTTATTTTATTTTATTTTATTTTTATTTTATTTTATTTTTATTTTATTTTATTTATTTTATTTTATTTTTATTTTATTTTATTTTATTTTATTTTATTTTATTTTATTTTATTTTATTTTATTTTATTTATTTATTTATTTAAATTTACTTAAATTTATTTAAATTTAATTAATTTAATTTTTTTTTTTTTTTTTTTTTTGTTTTGCGTTCTTGTTCCCTTTTATTATTATTATTATTATTATTATTATTATTATTATTATTATTAATTTTGCTCCAAACAAGTAAGTGAACGAAAGGAAAATTATAGAACACAACCTTTTCCCCATAAACAACAACAACAACAACAACAACAACAAAAAAAAAAAAAAAAAAAAAAAAAAAAAAAAAAACATCTTTTTTTTTTTTAAACTGCAATGAGCTATTTAAGATAGATTTTTTTATCCATATTGGAAAACTTGTTTTTCTCATATATGGCTTATTGCTCCAGATAATTTTTTGCGTGCTATTTTATTATTATTATTAATATTATTATTATTGTTGTTAATTTATACGGATACATCTTTTATTTTTTTAAAGAGACAAAAAACCACAGGAGAATGCCACCACGCGCCAAGTCAAAGAAGTCCCGTAAGGCTCTTGAGCGGAAAGAGAAAAAGTTACTAGAAGCCAAAATAAAGGCATCACAATGTAAATGTGAAGAGGGCCAGGCCTTTCTTGAACCCGTTGGTCGCAATGCATTACCGAACTATGCAAAAGCTATAGCTGCCCTTGAAGCAGCGATAGAAATTTATGATGGAAATGCAGATGCCTACCTTCTTATGGGGGATTCTTATCGTGGACAGGAGGAATTTGACAAGGCAATTGAGTACTATACTCAATGTTTGGGGAGAGACCCTACAAATGCCAGGGCCCTTGAGGGACGGGCGGCCAGCTATGCATCTCTAAAGAAATGGTCACTAGCCTTTGAAAATTATACCGCTGTCATTCATCTCGAACCGGAAAATGATCACTTATATAATCTTAGAGGTCTTTGTACATTAAGTACACGTGTACCTGGGTTGCGGTTACTTTCTGTGGAGTTTAATCAATGCGTGAGTGATTTTAAAACGTCCATTCGTCTCAATGAAGCGAATTATTATGCCTGGGCAAATCTAGGAAGAACATACGAAGATCAGGGTTTGTTGGAAGAGGCATTAAAAGCCTATTCATCTGCTTTGAAGATAAAGGAGGATTATGAGCAAGCTTGTTTACGTCGAGGTTGTCTTGCTTTTCGTATGGTGGAGAGTAGTTGGGAGGGAGATGATGGCAAAACAGGTAATGAGGTTAGAAGAGCAGAAGAAAATATTGAGGCCAATTCTGGGAAGAAATCCATTCCGAAATCTGTAGAGGAAGTTGAAGAAGAGGTAAAATTGGAATTAGAAATGGCAGCACGTAGGAAACGTGAAGAAGAGCTTCTTCAGGGTGCTATTCAGGACTTTCAGTTTCTTATGTTAGACAAATCGAAGAAACTGAAATGGGATCCGTGTTTGCCCCTGAATTTAGGAAGCTGTTTTCTATTACAAAATGAAATCAACAAGGCAGATGAGGAATTTAAAACTGTGTTAGAGATTATTAGCGCTAGACCGCAGCTGGTTGCAGATGGAGAGGCCGAGCCGATCTCAGATGTGGAATCCATAGTAAAGGTACTAAATCTCAAGAAGGATATTCTAAAGGAAATCAGGGGGCGTCTCTTCTTGGAGGGGAAGCAGCAACAATCACAGGACTCCCAAACAATATAGATGAGGGGGATGTAATATAACATGTGCATTTGATCCAATATGTAGACCGAAAATAGTTATCTTGGACTTGCTGTGATTGGACTTTGTTTGTCTAATTTTGACGTCTTTATTTTTTTAAAAATGTTTTTCTTTTTTTTTTGCTTTCTTTTGCATTCTCATTTTTTTTTTTTTTATTTTTTTCTTTTGAAAATAAAGTTGGCTGCCATTTTTAGTTTTTTTTAGTTTTTTTTTTTTTAAATTGTTGTTTGTGTATATTTTATTAGGCTTGATACAAAATGCTCTGCCGCTCAAGAATGAGGCTTAGTGGATTTGATGTGAATGCCCTGTATCCACATGGCGTTCCTAAACGCACCTTTCCTTACCGTGAGCACCCCAAGCAGATTTCCACTGCACCTATGGCTGGCGGATTTTACATGACCAAATATGCTCTTGGATGGCCTTTTCAGATACCCTTTGAGTGGCTGTTTTATCGAACATCCATCTTTCTTTTTGTGGCTTGTGTGGTGTACGACGTTTTTTTCGGCTTTCCTCTTCCCTTTATGAAGGAAATTCCACCAGGAAAACCAAAACATTTTTTCTTCAATAATGCAGGTGGATCTCCACACCACTTTTGGCAATATCAAGATGGGTGGAAGGTACCAAATATGTCTGGCGCGCGCCGTTGGGTGGATTAGTCAATAAATAGAGAAAACGACCAAACAAAAAAAAAGTCAGGGGAAAAAGGGATAAGCAAGTAATGACTTGTCGTATGGATTTCTCTACTTATTTTAGGAGTAAGAGGAAGGTTAGCGGAAACTTTTATAGGAACTTTTCTGTGAATATTAGTATGAGATGGGTGAACGGGTGTGTGGGCAAATTGAATGTAGGATACCGGGTTTAGGAACCTTGTGGCATGTTTTTATTTATTTATTTATTATTTTTTTTTTTAGTGTAGTTGAAGCATTATAGTGTATGTGTACGGTTTTCTATTTTTTTTCTTTTTTAGTGTGTGTTTGTACAGCGAACCCATTTTATGGGAATGGACGGTGCTATGGAAATTAATATTGATACAACAGCACTGTTGTCGCTGAAGATTTATTATTATTATTATTATTATTTAATTAGAAAAAAGATTTTCACTTAATTTTGAAATTAAACCATATGAATGGGTATGTGTGTGCATTTGTTTCTTCTTTGATGTGCCTTTTTTTTTTTTTTTTTTGCATGTATACATTCTGTGTGCAAATTGAGATACGATGAGTGTGAAATGAATAGGGATGTTGAGTGGCGAACCCTAGCTTTTCAGGAGGCGATGGAATTCCTCTGTCGGTTGCGGCATCAACTGGAGAGTAGGATAAGCTTAAAAACGAGGTCTCAAGAGGACGCATGTAACTCCCCAGTAAAGCAAACTGACGCCGAGTTGGCCGAGTTGGCTCTATCTGATGACGCCGATGAAGCTGCTTCTTTATTTTCTTTTGTGAAATGCGACGATGGGATGAATTCTTCCACAGCAGAAGAGTTGGATGTGTGCAATGATTTTTTTGAGTTTACCGACCAGGAGAGCACCGTTACTCTTACACACAGATACGAATCCTTAGGGAAAGGGGCACGCTCGAATGTGTACCGTGGCACCCTGTCTGTAACAACAATGGACGGTGTAAAGAAATACGATGTGGCTGTGAAAATGAGTCGTTTGTGCGTAGGCAGTCTCCACGAGATTGATCGTTGGATGCGTGTGGTCCAGCTGTGGCGAAATTTGAAGCATCCACTTTTTCATTGTTGCTACTACGTGGGATTTTCACCAATCGATGGTGAGGAATTAGTTATCAACATGTACAGTGCCCATGAACTGGCGTTGGGTGGGACCTTGGACGCATCTCTGAAGAAGGAAGAGCGGTTTACCGAGGATGTGGTTCGAACCATTCTTTTTGACCTGCTTCATTTTTTGTGCTATCTTCATGATGAGATTGGGGTGGTTCACAATGATATTAAACCACAAAATATTCTTCTTGTTATTGACAATGCAACGCAGCAATTAAGATACAATTTGTCAGATTTTGACTGTGTTTACCCCATAACTCCTTCTAGAGGAGGAATATTAGTAAATGGAATGGCAACATTGGATGGAACTGAGCATGATTCTGATGTGCTCATTTACGGTACACCGCCGTATATATCACCTGAGAGCTGTCGTGGATTGCCGTTTTTGCCTAGTAACGATGTGTGGTCACTGGGCATTCTCACATATCAGCTTTCAACAGGAAGATTGCCATGGAACCCATTGGAATTGTCTGTGCCCTCTATGATTTTAAATGGCTACCGGCGGAACGTTTCAAATGGCTTTGGGCCAACGCTGGATGAGTTCGAAGAGGGCTTTTGTCATATTTACTCAGACGAACTAAAGAATTTTGTGAAAATTTGCCTTGCCGAGGAGGCCAGTAAGCGGCCGACTGCCTCTGAGCTTCTTCGACATCCTTTTTTACTTTTTCCAGAAGGGTGCACTCGATAAGAAATGATATCATTATATAAATACGCATTGCTGGATGCCTGCCGCATCATTTTTTTTATTTTTCTTTTCTAGCTCAAAAAAAAAAAAAAAAAAAAAAAAGAAAAAAAAAAAAAAAAAAGAAAAAAAGAAAAAAAAGAAATAAATAAATAAAAATGGCATCTAATATCAGTAACATGGACAGGACATGCATGTTGCGGTCTCCGAGAACTCTCCTGGAGCACTCACGCACCGGCAGCGTTTTGCCACCTTCTTTTTTTGTTAATTCTTTTACCCTTTTTTCTTCCACCGAAATAACTAAAAAAAAAAAAAAAAACGCTGTTTCGATTTATATATTTTGAAGCTTTGCTGTTAGAGTTGAAAGGTTTTGTCGCCAAAAACTCCAAGTGACTGTATGTCAGAACGCCAGTACTTTGAGCATCCACGGTGGCATTTGCTTCGGCGTAACAATGCTGCAGTTGGAGGGACCACATCCGACGTTCCCACGGGAAACCTGCCGAGCGAACAAGGAACAGGAGTCTCGGACGATGAGAAGAAAAATGTACCAAAGAGAACCCTTTCGTCGCTTATGTTACTGGGCATTATGTACACTTACACCACCTCTGGAGCCTATGCAATTGAGGAAACTGTGATGGGCGGTGGTCCGCTTCTTACCTTGGTTGTCATCACATTGATTCCGGTCCTTATGGCAATGCCTACCGCACTGGTGGTTGCTGAACTTGCGACCGCAATTCCATCCAATGCTGGGTTTTTAATGTGGGTCAGTGTTTCATTTCATCGCGTCTTGTATTTCAGCATGGTGATTCAATCCCTATTGCTCATCTTCATCGATAATGCACTTTATCCAGTGCTTTTCTCCGAGTACGTATGCACCACTATTTCATGCACAACTGTGGCAAATAGAGGGTTTCGTGCTGGCATGCTGTTTGTGACGTACATATTGAACCTGACGGGTGTGCGAGCAGTTGGAATGGTTAGTGTTATGCTAACGGTCGCCACAATTGTGCCATTTGTACTGATGTTTTCTATGCACCTTTTTAAAAACAATTTCTATTTGAACTGGCCAGCTATAAGCTTTATTCCAGCTAATATTGATTGGTCAACCTTTATTTCCACGGCGTCATGGAATCTTTGCGGTTTGGAACAGGTTGCCACAGTCACAGAGGAAGTTAAAACTCCGCATCGGACAATTATTCGTGCGCTTGTGCCACTTTTGGGACTTTGTTATCTTACATATATTCCACCTATCTTGACAGGTTCGAGTTCAAAAAAAGGTCCGCCCGACATATCCAAATGGAAGACAGGGTACTGGTCATATGTTGCTTACAGCGTTGGAGGGAGCCCGTTACAGGTTTTGCTGATTATGGGAAGTTTTTTTTCAGCATTTGGAATGATGATTTCATCCTTGTGCACGACATCGCAAGTCATCGCTGGTGTTGCATACACCGAGGTTTTCCCAGGGCCTGTGAATCGGATTTTGTACCAGCGCAATAAGCGTTTTGGCACGTATCATTGGACATTGACAATCAATGCTCTGATCACTGGTCTCTTCAGTGTGTTTCTTGATTTTGGCCTGCTTGTGAAAAGCGACCAGGTTCTGTATGGCATAAGAGTGGTGGTGATTTTTCTGTCCTTCTTGATCATACGACACCGATACCCGCATCTAAGCCGTCCATTCAGGTTGCCACTAGAAGGGTACAAACTTGGCGTGATGATTTTTCCGTTGCTTCTCTTTATGGCACTTACAGTTGTGGCGATGATGGAGGACACGCAGAAAGTCACAGTAAATCTTTTGGTCATTGGCGGCACTCTTGTGCTGTCTTTTATTTACTGTTTCTTTATTCGGAAGGGGGAATTCTTTGGGCGAGTGGTGACGGAGACCGTTGAAGAACGGGAAGGGGATTGAAATGAAATCGTCGACGTCCTTTTATTTTTAATATTACTGCCATTATTAGGGATATGGTCTCCACGGTAATTGGTCTCTGATCATCAAGACCAGGAGACAGGCGCGTCATTGGAGGTGCACCTTACTTTCTCCTCTTTTTTTTTTTCCTGTCTTCTTGTTCCTCGCCGCTGAGCGGTGTCTTAATTAGGAGGAGGAGAGGGATGCGAGGGGATGCATAGTGAATTGCAGGAATAAATATTTAACAAAAGGAAAGCCGTTTACACCCCCCAATAAAATATTTGAAGCAGAGTTAAAACGCTTTTTTTTAAATTAAAATTTTTCTTCTGGAGAGCAATGTACATGCCTAGCTAACAAGCAAGCGGAGAAAAGAAAACGGAAGGCAAGAGAGAACGGGCTACTCGGAGTCCAGCATTTATGATAAAAAGTGTTTTCTTTTTTATCATCAGGAATTTCATCACACCATGGAAATGTACAAAACAAATTTTATTTATTTAACTAAATTATTATTATTATTATTATTATTATTATTATTATTTTTTCTTCCTAAATGGGGATGAAAAGGGAGTGTTTAAAGATACGTCTTTTTTTTTTATTTCTTTTTTTTTTTTTTTATAATGAATATAATGGTAATTATTTTTTCCGGTTATATGTTTACCGTTAACACGAGTCATTGGAAAAGAAAGGAAACGATATTGACTTTTATTACTGCCGGAGGGAAACACACGGGCTTTTGTCTTTTATGCCGTTTTATTTATTTATTTATTCTTTTTTTTTCTTTTTTTTTTTGTGTGTGTCAAATTGCCTTGAATAGAGTTTAGTGCGAAGTGACGGTGCGAAGCAACATGGGGCAACGGGATGCATTATGTTACATGTGCGCCCTACGAATGTCTATCATGTACCAGGCACCACCCCCAGCACCACCGTCACGACTACGCTTGCCCCAAACTGAGGGCGTTGAGGGGACAATTCACGACGATGGGGCACCGTTTGTGGATGAGGCATACCACCCACACTTTTCTATTGTATACGAGACGCCAAGGAGTGCCTTGCGGTTCTTTGATGTGGAGACCGGAGAGAATTTGGATGTGATTGCGTGCCAAAATTTGCCTTTTCTTTGCTGTGCGTGCTTGGGGCTGTATCAGTTCATGGATTACGTCCATGCTCCCGCTGTAGCTGCAGCTATTCGCACAAGTCCATACATCGATTCGGATCGTCTTTCCGTCAACGTGAATGTGCACCGCTCCATGTCTTTCTTGTGGCTGATGGTGTCTACCGTGTTTTACGGTGCTCACGGACGTGAGGGTGCTCTGCCCAATCCTTTTGCTGTGATACCTGAGGAACACTGTAACTTTAAGGACTTCTTTATGAGTGATTTGCGGGCTCGCATTCTTCAATACACCACGTATTCTCACGCGGAGTTGAAAGATAGAAAAACACCCGTAGGGTATGAAATATATCTAAGAGAGATTGCGCGTCGCTCCAAGAATGCGGTTATTGGGACACAGCCACAAACTATTCAAGCATTCATATATAGTCCAGAGAACGAGGGGGTCATTGTGGACATTTGTTCCGAGCACCATCGTGTGAAGGATCTCGCAGGTGGGGATGTGGTTCCGCCACAGTACTGTAGTAATCGCTGCGATGGTGTTATAAACTACGGCGTCCTGTACGAATATGTGCAACCCTATCTAGAAAAAATTGGATGGTGGGTTAATGACGGAGCTGCAGGGGGTCAGTTAAAGCACTTTGTGGTAGAGGGGACTGCAACAATTGCATTTAATTTGCAGCACTCTAATATCATGCTGATAGGCAACTACCGCAAGATGAAACGGGATCTCTCTCAGTCGCCATGGTTTGCCTATGGCGAGCGCGTCGGCGCATTTTCTTTACAGGAGATAATTGCAAATCCAATACTGCCTTTTTTCTTTCCCGAGGGTGTCGCGTCGGTACCGTGGATGGCCGAGGCAAACGAGAGCACTGTACAGATTGAAAAGAGATCGAGATGCGAACGGGTGAGTGCAGACCAACAGCACCTCGAGGAGCAGAGGGTCAACCCGCAGCAAATGGCTGCGCAGCGTGTGTTCGGTTTTGGACGCTACAAGTTCCACAGTGCCGGCCGTGAAGACGTGGATGTGCGCATGCTTGGAAGTGGGAGACCTTTTGTGCTGGAGATCATTTCACCCAGTCGTCAACGGGTCACACCGCAGGATCTTGCTGTTTTCGAGGAGGCAGTAAACAAAAGTGAGAAGGGTAGTGTGGAGATTTCGGACTTGCGTGTCACAGATGCCGACATTACCGTGAGGTTGGCACGGCATTCACAGAGTAAAGTGAAGAAGTACCGCTGTGTTGTCTGGTGCAGCAGAGCGATTGTAGACCCCGAGCATGACGACTACTTTCAGGCTGTGAATGCCGTGAAAGATCTTGACATCGAACAACGCACGCCTGTTAGAGTACTGCATCGACGTTCCATGCAAGTTCGCCCGCGCATGATTCACTCAATTCGACTCATGCCGCTGAATGCGCATTGGTTTCTAATGGACCTGGAGACCCAGGCGGGCACCTACGTGAAGGAATTTGTTCACGGCGATATGGGAAGGACAAAGCCTCATTTGGGGGCGCTGCTGAATGGAAGAACAGATATCATTCAGTTGGATGTTTTGGGCATGGAAATGGAAGGGCTTTAAGCAACCAAACGAATCGATGACAACGGCGATGAAAGAGAATGAAATACATGAAGAATTTTTTTTTTTTTTATTATTTCTGGGCTGTGGCTTTTTCACACTAATCACTGGCATCGTAATGAAGTGGGCACAACTTTTATCTTTGATCCATTCTAAGGAAAAGACGATGATGGTGCCATAATTATATTTCTTTTTTTTTATTTTTATTTTGTTTGTTTATATGTGTTATTTTTTATCTCTGTTGGCTTTTTTTCCCGTTTCTTTCCTTTTTCTATTCATTTATGCCTTTACTTTTTTTTTTTTTTGTATATATTTCCCTTTTTTTTTTTTTTTGTGTGTGTGTGTGTGTGTGGGCCACTCATACACTTGCTTTCTCTCATTTTCAAAGGACAATATAGCAGCATTAAAAGGAAGAGGAACATCAACTAATAATAAGAGGCTAGGAGAGAGAGAGAAAGAAAGGGAACGCGAGCATTTCTCTTTTCTCTCTTTTTCTTTTCTTCCTTTTCTTTTCTTTTTTTTTTTGCTTTATCACATCGTCACTACCTTTTCTTGTTCCTCCTCCTTCTCTTTCTTCTCTCCTCTCCTTTCTCCCGATGCGACGCCTCATTAAGTGCATAGCCGCAGCGCGTCCGAAAAATTTGCCACATTTCCGTATGGCGATGCGTGCGTCCAGCAGCGTGGCGGTTGGGGAGGGAGGGGATGTGGGGAAGATCGTGCAGGAGCGGCTGTACCGTATCATAGGGGCACGAATGTCTATCTCCCCCGCCATCGCCCGTTTTGTGGTGGAGCAGACAAAAAGGGGCTCTACCGTTCCGTTTCTGGCGCGTTACCGCCGAGACGAAACTGGACACCTTGATGAGAGGGCTCTTCGCCAACTCATTGACATGGCGGAGGAACTGCAGGAGGTACAACGGCGCCGCGCATTTATGCTGAAGAGTCTTAAAAGCCGCGGTCTTCTCACAGATGAGCTTCGAGAGGCATTTGATAAACTGTTGCATCTGAATCAGTTGGAGGATGCATGGGAACCCTTTAAGGAGAAGAAGACAAGCTTGTCCCACAGGGGCCGGGAGGCTGGGTTGGAACCTCTCGCGAAGAAGCTGCTTTACACTTCGGAGCCGTTGACAGATGCGTTAGAGAAATTACGCTCTGTTACAGACGGTGCCAAACTCTTTCAGGCCATTATTGTGGAGGAAGTGCAGCGCTGTGACGAAGTGCGACAACTCATGCTGGCCGAGTGTCGACAGAGCGGTGTGATCAGCAGTTCACTTGCGGCAGCCCCCAGGAAAAAAAACGCCAAGGAAATTGGCACCGATGCCTTTGAGACGCTTAAAAAACAATTTGCTGCTTACGAAAATCGCCGATGGTCTGTGCAACGTATCAGTGCTCATAACGTCTTGGCATTGCAACGTGGTGAGAGTAAGGGAGTGCTTCTAGTAAAGATGATTCCCCACAGTCGAAGCAAATATACTTTTTTCTCATGGGCTCGAAAAAAGTTTGTTGGGTTTCAGCGGCAGGAAGACCCCAAAGCTACTCGTCTACTAAATCAATGTCTTGAGGCTGCATATGAAAACATAATGAAGGTCACACACAACATCATTCGACGTGACTTAAAAAAAAGTGCTGAAAAAGAAGCCATTACCGTATTTGCACACAGTCTTCGTCATATTCTTATGCAGTGTCCTATGCGTAACGCGAGAATTTTGGCGATGGATCCAGGTGTCACCAAAGGTGTTAAGTGTGTCGCTTTGGATGAGAATGGTGGAGTGTTGACTCGTTTCAAGTGCATTATTATGGATAAAGCCAATATGAGGGATTACATCAGTGGTTGTGTCGAAAAATTAAAACTGAATAAAATTGTTATAGGCAATGGGACTGCTTCGCGAGAAGTGGCGGACATTGTTGCTGATACTATTGAAGAGAGGGGATTAAGTGTGGAGTATGCTATTGTAAGTGAGGCAGGGGCAAGTGTTTATTCCGTATCCGATGTTGCGAGGGAGGAGTTTCCGACGCTTGATCCAATGTACCGTGGGGCGGTAAGTATTGGTCGCCGGGTGATTGATCCACTGAGTGAACTCGTTAAAATTCCCGTGCGTTCTATGGGTATTGGCATGTATCAACATGACGTTAGCGAAATGGAACTTTTGCGTGCCTTGAATCGTGTGGTTGAATCGTGTGTGACCTGCGTAGGTGTGAACGCCTTAATTAGCAACCGTTACGTGATGGAAAAGATTCCAGGCGTTACCAAGCCCATTGTGGATCAAATTGTCCTTGCACGGTATGCGAAAAAACTGAAGAGCCGTGAGGATTTGCGCCGGGTTCCAGGCATGACGGAGGCGACGTATCAACAAGTCGCAGGGTTTTTCCGATTCCCAAACTCTACGAACCCACTGGACAATACCAACATTCACCCCGAGTCGTATAGCACCGTGCAGAAGTTGCTGGAACTTTACGGGGGGAAAGAAAGAAGGGAGGTCGGTAACATTCTTCTTAATCTGAGGGATGCGGAACTCAGGGATGTGGCAAGTAGGATTGGATGTGGCGAGGCGACGCTGGAACTCGTGGCTCGGGAATTGGCGTCACCAGCTCTTGATCCACGTTCGGAATTACCTCACGCAGGAATTTTTCGTCGTTTTCCACCGAAATTGTCCGATCTTAAGCCCGGCGATATGTTGAGAGGGGTTGTGCAGAGCGTGACAACATTTGGCGTCTTTGTGGATGTCGGTCTTCACGATAATGTTCTTGTGCGAGGTGTAAACATTGACACGGTGCATACAGGTGACCCGTTGGATGATTTGCGCTTTGAGGGGGTTGACCAGCTTGGCAGGGTTAGGCTTCGGTACGACGGGGTTCTGCATGCGCGTGGAGACGCCGCTGCGCAGTCCCACCGTCGAGGCCTGACTCTGGAGTCAGAGGAATTCCTTTCTTTAGGGCGTCTGACAACACCGGAGGCACAACCGACGTTAAGTGATAGCCTTGCCGTGGTGCGTGAAGAGCGCCAGCAAATATTTGCTTCTTTCTCTTTGCAAGGGCCGCACGAGTTTGCGAGAGTTGCCGCCACCGTGACAAACGGAAGTGGTAATGTCGTTAAGCCGCTCAAGAGACCTCGCACTGAAGGTGGTGTACACACGGCTGCTGCTGGCCAAACAACGATGACGGCAGCTGCAGCAGCTGCAGCAGCAACAAAAACAACAAAAACGAAAACAACAGCATCATCATCATTAACGGATAAGGCAGAGGTAGCGGCAAAAGCCCCGCGTTCGAAGAAAAGGCGGGCTGGAGGGAAAAGGCGTGTTACGCCCTCTTTGGTCTCAGAGGAGCACGAGAATGACGAAAAGAAGCAAATTGTTGGTGACACCCTGCGGTGGTGGCGGCCGGAGGAAGAGACTGAGAAAAGTGGGCTGACTACGGGGGGCGTAAGGGCTGTTAAGGAAAGGACTCCCGGTGTGAAGAGGCCGAGAACAGAGACGCTGGGCCCACAAAAAGTTTTACAGCCACCAACTTCCACTTCTACAAAGGAAAGTGAGGAAAGCGAACCCATATTCTTCTTTTAGTCTTTGGGGGATTTTACATTATCCAGTGCTTGTGCGCGGGGAAATAAATTCATATTTTTTAAAAACACTTTTTTTTTTTTTGCCCCTGTTTGTGTATAGGTGTGTATATGTCACCGGGAAGCTCTTTTTCCTTTTTTTAATTTCCTCTTTTCCGGAAAGGACGTTTGGGTGGAGGTGTGCTTTTGTGTGATTTACTGCCTCCCATTTATAATAGTTCTTGGAAGCTTGTTGCGGGAAGAATGCTTGAGAAGGGGAAAGGGGCTGCTTAGCCAGAACCCTTGGCGCATTTCGGCTTGTCACGCTTTTGCCTTTTTTTAATGCCTTTGCCTGCGTGTTTATTGATACGAGGAGGGTGTCTTGGTTGGGGGGAGCACCGCGAATTAGGGCGGACTGTTACCCTCGATTCCTTTTTTTTCTGCTGGAGGCGCTTCAGGCGGGCTAAATATGGGCATGCGTTGAATTGATGAAAACAAATGGCCATTTCCCTTTAAGAGTCATTCGCAGCTCAACGGTCAATTAACGGAAGTCTTTCAATGGAAACCGTTCTTTAAAAATCAAAGAAAAAATGGTAGCCCGGGAATTCCTACACGAAGGCCGCGCCCAGACGGACGCCTGCTCCTCGCGTCCTCTTTCTCAATCAAGGACGGTAACTCCTTTTCCGGGGAAATTGTGCACGGCGCTTTGGCCTTTGGGGGACAGCTCTGTGCGTTTTATTCTTTTTCTTTGTTTGCTTGCGGATTTCTGTAAGAATATATATATTAATACAACACCTTTTAAACCATGTTTCTTTTTTTTTTACTTTTCTTTATTTATTTTAAGCGAAGTACCGAGTAATTTCCAAAAGCCTAAAAACAACAGGAATAATCAAATAAAGGGCACGATTAAGCGGGTAAGGGCTACTTTTTTGCCACAAGATGCCTTTTTTCAGTTCCTATGGAGAGACTTGGCTCTTTCTTACAAGCATCGTTATGGGCATCACCATGGTGATGGGTGTGAGTGCGGTGACATCAGCTCCCAGTTACATGACCAAATATTACAAGTATATTTTGAAAGATGACGGGGCCGTGCCTTCAAATAAAAAGTTTTGGGACACAGTTCTTACATTTTATGTGGTTGTCACCATGGTAACGCAGACCTTGTTTGAGCCAATGAACCTAACGACGTTCTGCCGCCGCTTTTCTCTTAATTTTCGGCTGCAGGCTTCCTGTGTGCTTATGCTTGTGGAATTGCTGGTGTTGTTGTTAATTCCCTTCTCTTCTAATGCATCGGAAAAGGGCGCAATGGCTGCTTTGATGGTAATGGCTTTTGTGGGCGGTGTCGGACGAGCGTTTTATGAGAATACTGGATACGCACTATTTGGCACTTGCCCGCCCACTACTATTTCTGCTTTTGTTATTGGTGCTGCTGTTTCTGGTGCCCTGACGTCTGCTTTGCAGATTATTATTAAGGCTTCCATGTCAGATGACTTTGAATCTGTCAAAAAACAGGCGTACATTTACTTCAGCACGGCAATTGGGATTATTATTGTGACAATGATTATGTTATGGTCACTGTCGAAAAATTCCTTTGCTCGGGAACGCATTTTGGAGTTACGTTCAAAGCGCACTTTTGTTGCTAATATTTATCGGAACCACACACCAGACATTAGATCAAACGTTGTTCCTGGAGATTTGACCAACGCGAATGAAGAGAAGGAAGAAGAATTTGGAAACGACGTTACTTCCTCTTCTGGAGAAGACCCCTACGAAACTGGGTGGCTTTTGAGTGTAAGACTCTGGCCAATCATCAAGAAGATTTATCCCGTGCAGTTTTCATGTTTTTTCACGTATTTTATGACATTCCTTCTCTTTCCTGGTGTAATGCTGGCCGTGGACGTAAATGATTCTTGGTACGGGACTATTGTTGTGGCAGTTTTCAGCCTCGGTGATCTTGTGGGACGATTAATGTGCCTAAGTCGAAGGTTGTGGCTTTCTCGGAGGTGGGTGGTTATATCCACATTTTTGCGAATACTCCTTGTTCCTTTGATGGTTCTGTGTGCAAAAGGATACATTCGCAATCATGGCGCAGCTTATGTAATAGCTACCGTGACGGGACTAACCAACGGATATTTGGCCACAATTTCTGTTTCATATGGACCGGAGACGGAAGGCCTTCAAACTGATGGCGAGAAGGCCTTGGCTGGTCAAGCCATTGGCGTCTGCCTACTTTTTGGTGTTTCTACGGGATCGCTGTTACAGTTGGCTATTGTGCTTGCCATATAGAAGGCTGGATAAAGAGACATTTATTGGGAGCTTTTAAAAACAACAACAACAACAACAAAACGACGTTTGCGAGCATGCAGGCCACCCAAATTAATGTAATTCCTGATAAGACGCATATAATATAATATATATATATATATATATTTCTGTAACTTTCTTTCCCATCGTGGTTTCTTTTGGAAGACCGCGATGGAGGGAGTCAATGAACCGATAACGTTAAGACGGATATTTTTTGTTTACTATTTATTTATTTATTTTTTTGTCCTGTGGTTGAAGGACTTCAAAATTTTACCATTTATTAACTAATAAATATCTCCAATTTTTAAAAAGCGAAACAATGCCACGACAGCGGCAATCAATATATAATATATATATCTAATTGGAGCAAAAATTGAGGAGGTGGCAAACCCACTGCCTCCCACTCCTACCCCTTTTTCCCCGTTCTACTTTTACTTGTTTAAATATAAAAGTTTGTTAACTGGTCAGCCAACTACACGAATTTCCCTGGCTGTTAGGGCAAGAATTGGTACACATTTTTTTAATTTTTTATTTTTAGTGTGGGGTTATTGTACGGGAATATGCAGCAAATAGTTTATTTATTTATTTATTTATTTTTTATTTTTTATTTTTATTTTTATATATGATAATGGGGTCCCGTGGGGAGGAGCGTGCGAAGACGAGGGTGTTTATCTTGGTGATCTTGTCTCTTGACAAACTTTCCCGCCTTTTTTTGTTTCTTAACTGAATTTTGTCTCCGATGACACCGTGCTGGAGTGCAGCGAGGGCAGTTATTTTTTTCTGTCCCGCCTCCCCCGCTGTTAGCCCTCACGCGGAGGGGAGTCCGGCGGTTGCGGGGCCCTTTTAAAAACAGCCACCTTTGGAGGCTTACACATATTTCTTAATGAATTTGTCTGTTTGCCGGTGCATGAGTGTGGGACAAATCTCCTCTGAGGCGTCGGGGATGCGGAGTACACGGAATCCAAGCTGCATTCCTTTTTGCTTTTGATTTATTTTTACGCGAAACGCGTGAAAGGGTCTTAGCGAGATGCGTATTGCAACAATATTTTCATCTTGTTTGGGTGAAGAAGAGGAATTATATTCCCTGTTCATTTTATGTTTGACCACCTCATAGCGTTGCCAGGGACCCATCACCCAATGACGCGGGTGCGATTCTTCGGGAAGCCAAAAGTCAATCATTATGCGGTGCAACGCTCCGGATCTTAACCCGCACGGCGCCGTGATGTCGTCGCTGCCGTGCTGCCAACGCATGGTTTTGTGCCCCACAATGCCAGCGGCATTATTGCAGGGGTAAAGTTCCTGACCCGGAGACTGCGACGGTGGAAAATAAATGCGGAACTTGGTATTACGTGTACCACGGCCAATTATCCAGGCCTGTCGGACAGGGGAACCACAGCCAGTCATCTCCACATCCTGGGCGTGTGGGCGGAGTGGGTGGCACACGACCCGGAGTCCTCCAGGAAAAAAAGAAGAGCCCAACTGGAGACCGCTCCCCTGGCAATGCCGCCGGATGCTTCAGCGTGGTACGCCAGGGTCAATTGCTCCGTATTGTCAGGGGAAGCCAGGAGCCAGCAACGTTTCCCTGACGGGGTTGTGACTGTTGGCGTCAGCCCTGCGCCCGGACCAGATGTGCCTTGCTGGGACATGGCTGCAACACCATGAGATCTGGGGGCGCGCGCTGTCGCACCGAATGCAGGCCAACAGATTTATTAAAGAAAAACACACACAAGAAAAACACGAGGAAAAACAAGACAACACAAAACAAAAAGAAGTATGTAAAAATGCTCGGTAAATTTTATTAGATATATTTTTTGTTGAGCGAGTCTTGGCGCAATTTGTGGCATATATATATATATTTTGTTGTGAGCACACATGGTGGTATTATTATTATTATTTTTTTTTTGAGATGGAACCGCCACACGGTGACGTTTTGGGACACGTGACCTCGCACTTGTTTGCATTGAGGGTAAGAGCGGAAGTGCTGGTTTTTTTTGGGTTTGAGAGCTGCATATAATTTATTGCTGTTTACTATGGGGGAATCTTCGAAGAAAAATATTTTTTCTTTTATTTTATTTTTTATTTTGCGATTCTTTAAAATTGCTATCTTTTCTCTTTCTCTCTTTCTCTCTGTCTTTCTCTCTCTGCGTGTGTGTGTGTGTTTCTGTTAGTTCTTGGAGGTAAGAGGTCTGCGTTCATAGCGGAGTTTCAGCTCAATATTACTAATTTCATAAAAGGCACAATTCAAAGGACAGACATAATGTCAGAGGCACGGTTACCAAAGTACGCGTGGGAGGAAATCCGAAAACACAACACTGACAAGGATTGTTGGGTGGTGCTGTACGGCCGTGTGTTGGATGTCACGAAGTTTTTGTCTCAGCATCCTGGTGGAATTGACCCTATCAATGATCTTGGGGGGTACGACATCACCAACTCCTTTGAAAGCATCGGGCATTCCTCAAGGGCACTAGTCTTGTCAAAGGAGTTTATTGTTGGCGACTTGGATAAGGATTCCAAGCCACCCGTTGTAGAACCGAAGGCGTCACGAGAGGATGTGCCTCTGACGGCTTATAAAGCAGGGGGTGAAATGATTCCGCTGAGTTACATTTTGGCTCCTGTTTTTGCACTGATGCTTCTTTTTTATTATTATTTGATGGCATAGAAGTGGCTTTTTCTTTCTTTTTTTTTTTTTTTTTTTTTTTTGCTTACTGGACCTCTCCTTTTTGTTTCCTTTTTTTTTTTTCGCCTTTTTTCCCACTTGACAGGACAACAGAGAGAAGCCAACAACTAAAAAAACATGGACCACAGGAGCATCCGCCGGGGTGGGTGAAAGGAAGCACAAGAAAACGCTTACGCATTAATTTCCCTCCCAAACAAACAAACAAACAAACAAAAAAAAAAAAAAAAGAGTTTAAAAAATAAATAAATAAATAAAAGCAAGAGAGAAGTGAATGTTGTGTGAGATGCTTTTCTCTAATGGGATGGCGAAGCTTGGATGTGGATTTCTTTTTTTTTTTTTTTTTTTTTTTTATTTTACCATTATTTATGAAGACTTAACTTTTACTGTTTGTTTCTCTCTGTTGATCGTGTCCTTTGCGAAATGCATTATGAGCCGCATTCCGCTTGTGAGTGGGAAGTAAAGTGAATTTAAGGTGGGAGGAGGGGTCCCGGTTTGCGAAGAAGAAAAGGAAAACGCCTCTGTTGTCATGTCTACTACAGATACACATGTTTTGACGGTATTTTGTAAAAAAGGAAAGAAAAACAAAAACAAAAAAAAGGACTGCGACAACAGTCATGTGGCCGTTCGCCTTGACGTCTGATAGTGGAGAGGCCATGGGAAATTAGAAGAAAAAAAGAGCAAAAGTGTTTTATTTCTACTTTTTGTTGGTTTATTATTATTTTATTTTATTTTGTTTTTATTTTTTTTGCAGGGCGTAACGGGGAGGAAAACATTTTCTGGTGAAATGTTTTTTTTTTCTTCCACGGAGAGCTGAAGCGGGGAATGCTCAGATGTGGTGGGGGGTGGGTGGAGAAGAAGAAGAAATATGATGGGGTTTGGAATCACTTTAGGTTCATGTGGGTTGTGCGAGAAGTTGGTCTTTTTTTAAAAAAAATACACATTAATTCTTTAATTTATATTTTCAATAAATAAAGAAATACAAAAATACATTCACATTTTGTTTTAACTCTTTATTTCGCCAGAAGCCTTTCACGCTTCCCCCTCCATTTATTATTATTTTTTGCTTCTTTTCTTATATTGTGCTGAGAAGCTTTTTTTTTTTTTTTGAGTTGTGGAGTTCTCTCTTCTTATTTATTTTAGGAAGAGAGGAAAGAGGGGAATTGGGGGATCCGTAATTCATTAGGGGTATTGCGGACAACAAACAAAAGGGGCTGCTTCTGTGGGTTTTTTGTATTATTGCACACACACACACACACACACCCGAATTATTTCTTGCAGGAAACATGTTGCGTTGTTTTACCGCTTCTGGGTTTCATTTGCCACGTTGCACATTAGCCACCATGGGGTTTGTCTCTTGCACAGGATCAAACCGTTGGTGCAGCGTGTCAGCCGGGTCGACACCGCACAAATCAGCAGAAGGAGACGTCCTCCAGTCCAATATCAAGAAGGAAGAGCGATCGCGGGATTTTTCTGAGCTTTACGCCGCCCATCCCTCACAGTACGAGTCTGCTCCGGCAGCTATTCGACCAAATGTCCTTCGTTACCCGTGCGACCCAAAGAGTGCAGAATTTCAGGAAAATCTGAGACGTATGGAGGGTCTAACGACGGAGCTGCGACGTCGTGTACAAGTGGTTATTGAGGGGGCTTCTGAAAATGATCGCAAGGCCCGTGAGCGACACGTTAGTCGCGGGAAATTGTTGCCTAGAGAGCGTATCGAGAAACTTATTGACCCAATGACCCCCTTTTTGGAATTATCTCAGCTTGCCGGGCTCGATTTGTATCCTGGGGAGTCATGTCATTCAGGTGGCATTATTGCGGGCATTGGTGTTGTGCATGGCATTCGTGTGATGATTTTGGCGAATGATGCCACTGTGAAGGGCGGAACATATTATCCCATAACTGTTAAAAAGCATCTGCGGGCTCAAAAAATTGCATGGGAAAATCATCTTCCTTGTATTTATCTTGTGGATAGTGGTGGGGCCAATCTTGCTCGACAAGATGAAGTGTTCCCGGATGAACAACATTTTGGTCGTATTTTCTTTAACCAGGCCAATATGTCTGCTGCGGGGATTCCGCAGATCGCTGTGGTTATGGGGAGTTGCACGGCTGGTGGTGCCTACGTGCCAGCGATGTCGGATGAGAGCGTTATTGTCAAGGGCAATGGTACCATATTTCTTGGGGGTCCACCGCTTGTTTTTGCCGCGACTGGAGAGAAAGTGACTCCAGAGGAATTGGGCGGGGCTGCTGTGCACTGTCGAACAAGTGGTGTTACGGACTATTTTGCGACGGATGACCTTCATGCATTATACTTAACACGACGTATTGTAAGAAATTTGAGTCGGGAAGAAGGTTCAAAAGATGTGGAGAGTAAAACCTTTACGCCACCCTTGTACGACCCAAAGGAGATTGGAGGATTTATACCTGATATGGCTGCAGAAGTTGTGAAGAGTTTTGATATACGTGCTGTGATTGCCCGTCTTGTTGACGGAAGTGAATTTGACGAGTTCAAGGCGCAATACGGCAACACGTTGGTGTGTGGGTTCGCACGTTTTGAAGGAATGCATGTGGGCATTGTTGCCAACAACGGTATCCTGTATTCTGAATCGGCTCTTAAAGGGGCACACTTCATTGAATTGTGCTCTCAACGTCATATCCCTCTGTTGTTTCTGCAGAACATTACGGGATTTATGGTTGGGAAGGCCTATGAAAGGGGCGGAATCGCAAAGGACGGTGCAAAGCTTGTGACGGCTGTGGCGACAACGAAGGTTCCAAAAATTACCGTAATCATTGGAGGGAGTTATGGTGCAGGCAATTATGGAATGTGCGGCCGTGCCTTTGGCCCCCGTTTTCTTTTTATGTGGCCCAATGCGAGGATAAGTGTCATGGGAGGGAATCAGGCTGCAACAGTGCTTGCGCTCACAAACTCTAAATTGAAGCCCGATGCAATAGAGAGCTTAAAATCGGAGGTGAAGACAAAATACGAGAAGGAGGGTTCCTGCTACTACAGCACATCACGTTTATGGGATGATGGCGTCATTGCCCCCGAGGACACTCGTGCGGTGGTGGTTCAGACGCTGCGCACAGTTCGCTTGGCTCCGCGGCAGAAGACAGAGTTTGGTTTGTTTCGTATGTAAAGCCCTGCAACTCTGCGCTTTCTCGCCCAGCCCGAAGAAGGCGCAGGTGGGGCGAGGTGAAAGGAGTGACCACCGGCGGGCGCAAGAAGAAAAAAAAAGAAAAGGTATGAGGAGGAGGAGGATGAGTAAAAGGAGGGTATTCATTTTTGATGCGAGTGTTAAATGGCCGGACTCTCACCGTGCAGAATCATTCGGAAGGAGGAAGAGAAGGGACACAAAAAAGAATAAAATGGAGCGTGCGATGTGAGTGAGAGGAGGGCGCGGCGAAAATTCCCACTTTTATTTGTGCCTTTATTCCTTTTTTTTTTTTTCTTGTTTGTTTGTGCGCGTTGTTCATCTATTTTTTTCTTTTTCACATTGGGCACGCATGCTTCTTTCCTTTTCCTTACCTGCTTGTCATATTTGCCTCGCTGGTGTTTCTTGAGGTTTGAACGTTCTACACCCTGCCCCCATTTTTCCCCTTTTGCGTTTGACCGGTGAACCGATACGGCGTGGGGTGACACGAACACTCACACACGAGCCAAAATACAACGAAAAAAAAAAAAAAAACGTTTGCAAAACGACGATAGCGATGAAAGTTCAGCATACCCAGAGAAGTCTGCCATCTTGCCACGCATTTTACTTCTTTTATGACTTGTTTTTTCTTCTTTTTAAGGGGGTCGAAGTACACACAGAAAAAGAAACATAGCGAAGTCTTTGGGCCTGTCGTATGAGGTCGGATCGATATGATGTGGCTTCTACGCCTCCCGCTGATGGGAACGATTTGGTCACCTGCTCCGTTCACGGTAGCCGGCGGTTGGCCAGGTTCTGCGTTCGCATTCCAGTGTACAACGCCGACCGTGTCATGGTTGGATACACCTATAAGTGCAAAGAAGAGATGCAGTGTGCGGCTTCGGCGTCTAGGAATTCTTTTGCCAAGCAACATGACATTAGGGGTGTTGCTGAAAGTCGAGACGATGCCTCTCCGGAATTATTGACGAGGTCCGTGGCAACAACACCAACAACGGCTGCGGGCGTTGTTGCGGCAACGGAAAAAGATGCTGCTCCGCAGCAACAAAGGACTGGAGCTGCGCGCGGTCCCAACCGCTACTACGACCTCACCAAGCAGCGGGACTCGGATGCGGCAGGGAAGAAAAAGGTTTGCTGGAACTGTGGAATGGAGGGACACGAAAAACCCGAGTGCTGCAATACATTATGCAGAACGTGCCACACCACAAGGGGTCATCACCACCTTTGTCAAGAGCCACGCCCATCACCTTTTCTGAACTTGTCTCCCACAACTCTTTTATCAGAGGATATGTCTTTTGTGCAGTGTGTATCCTGTTCTTCATTTGGTCACTTTGATTGCTCTGCGTCCCGAGAAACGAGGATTCCCTCGTGTTGTTTTTGTGGAGAGAGGGGGCACAACGCCTATGACTGCAGTCGGCGGAAGAAGCGAGTGCCGGACCGTTGGGTAACTCGTGTAAAAGAGGCGGAGAACGGCATGGCTTATCGGGAGAATTCTGGCGCTTCTGCTGTGTTGCCGTCAGTTTTCAATTCCCTTTCCACCGTGTATGCCTCTCCTGGCTACAATCAGGCTTCTGCGTGGAGAGAGAGGGGTGCGCCTTCTTATGTCGCAAACTGGAATGCCGGCAGGAGAGAAAATGGGTCTTACGGTGGGGGTGCTAGCAGCGGTGGGTACTACGCGACGAATTCCCGCCCCTACAATGATAGATCGCCCTATTCTGGTTACAGCGGAGACAGGCACAATGTCTCTCATACGAGGGAAACGGATCAATATGCAAATTACGGGTTGAAGCGCTCTCGCTGGGGTGATGATGAGGATTTATCTCGCAATAAACATCATCAGCAGAGCCGGACACACGACCACTATCGTGGCTTTGATTCGAATCAACAAGGAAACCAAAGGGTAGGCAGGAACCATGCTGGCAGCAGAGGCGAGGGAGAGAAGCCACATGTACGCCAATCATATCACAACAACGGCCGCTATCAGCAGAAACAACGTCGTAGGAACCGTGGTGGGAGCGACAGTGATGATGATTACGAAAATTTGTTTTAAAAGTTGCCAGAGAATAGCTTTCTGTGTTAATGTCGCTTTATAAGAGAATTAAACCGTCAACCGAGGATAATGCGGAAAAAAAAAGAAAAAAAGAATTGATGAATACAGAGAAGGCCCTGTCACTGGTGGGGGTGCCTCCTTCCCTTTTCTTCTCTTTCCTTCCCGTGATGCAACGCCACCGGGCTTGCAATATTTATATTTTTTATCTCGTTTGCTTCTTTTTTTTTTTTTTTTTTTGTGCATACGTGTGCCGGATTGTGGGTTAAGCAGAAGGAAGGCGGAATGAGCCAGACGGAAAAAAACTTTGCAGCAGAATTGCTGGAGAAATACTTTGGGACTGCGTACCTCTTCGACCAGGCCAATGGCTTTTTCCGCGAGAAGGTGTCACCCAAAAATACTGCTGGTCTTACAACACCACCGAATATAAAATGCGTCAGTTTTTTGCGTTTTGTGAACTGTACTGTTGATGAGAAAAATATTTCTTCCCTGCGAGAGGCGGCGGCGTCAAGCACCCTTGTGGAATCCCTGAAAGGAGAAGACGGCGAGTGGTATCTGCGTCGGCGTTGTTTTCTGGATCCCAAGGACGATCCTGCAATTCGAAGTGTTGTGGTGTGGCCCTTGCACCGCGCCTCGAAGCCCGGGGAGGTGAAAGAATTTTTCAGCCAGTATGGAACTGTTGAGTTTGCCAGAGTCATGTTACAGCCCCACGGCGAAACACAGTTACACGCCACCTTCGTGGTGTGTTTCGCCACGGTGGCGGAGGCCACGGCGTGCGCCAAGGCGAATGTTTCCTTTGGCGAGGCGCCCTCAGCCTTAGCACAACACTTTTTGCCATCTCGCCTGAATGTGATGCCAGCGGAGGATTACCGCGCCAAAACTGAAAAGGATATTCGGGCGCGGGAGGGGACGCAATTGAAGCAAAACGTTGTGAGGGCGCAGAAGGCATTGGCGGAGCTTAAAGGTCAGGAAATTAAACGTTTCCTGCGCAAAGGTGTGACGCTAACGGTAGAGGGTGTTGCACCTGGAACGACGTGGCAGACAATGAAGATGAAGCTTGGAAACCTGAGCCTCACGAACCCCGTGTTGCGGAGAGGCATTACCCTCCTGAAGGTGGAGGGACCGGACGCCAGCGCACCGTCGCGGCCCTGGCGAGCCTTTGTTATTTGCCGTGACGAAAACATTGCGAGTGAAATGCTGAAGGCTTTTAGCTTTGCGGATGGAGAATTTGGGAAGCAGCTGCGGGAGGTCTGCCCGTCACTGAGGCCGCTGACAGATGAGGAAGAGAATTACGCGCGACGGCACTTTCCGGAATGGTGTGAGCCGCTCGTGGTAGCAAAAAGGGCTGTTAACAGCAAGCGTCAGCGCTCGCCCTGATTTTTTTACTCTGTTTGTTTGAAAAAAACGTTGCACTCAACGAAAACAAATGAAAAATACAAATAAGAAGGAAGGAAGGAAGAAGAAGAAAAAGAAAAGGAAAAAAAAAAAAAAAACCGATATTATTTAAGCGCCGCCTTATTTTATTTTTATTTTTATTTTATTGTTTGGCTTTTGGGAGGGATGGCGGGTGGAGCGAATTGAAGAATGGAGCCCGCCACCCGCCGGTGTCTTTTTTTTTTTTTTTTTTTTGTTCTTTTGTACTCTTTCTCTCCGTCCTTTTCTTTTCTCTTTTTTATTGCGTTCTGTTCTTTTTTCTTTTTTTGGTTGGTTGGTTGGTTGGTTGTTTTTTTTTTTTTTTTTTCACCCGGAAGATATTCTGCAAACCGAATACACGACACCTACACTAAAGGGAAGGAGGCGTGAGGAGGGAAAATAAAACGAAGTGCAGGAGAAAAGGGAACAAAAAAAGAGGAAAAACACGAAGACGAGGTGAAAAATATCATCATCAAAAGGCGGCAACAGAAGAAACAGCCGGTGCGATCAACCGCAGGAGAACATTATTTTTTTTCCCCCTCCCTGTGGTGACGGCGGATTCCGATACAGGGAGAGTAAGTGCGCGCGAACTCGAACACACACGAGAAGGGCGTGGGTGGGAGAAAACAAAACAACAACAAAAAGGAAGGACGAAAAAGGAATAGGCGAAACGAGAAGCAGATAAAGAAGTACTTACAGAGACATTACCCTTGCCTGCTGCCTGGAGCGTGACGCCACATTTCTTTCTTTTTTTTTTTTTCTTTTTCTTTTTCTTTTTTTTTACTGCCTGACACCCTTTTTGCAGTCGCGAAAAAGGAAAAAAAAAAAGATAACAGCATTTAAACGGGTACAGTTGTTTGTGAGTCTGGAGATAAGGAGAGACGATTGAATTGGCTCAATATAAATATACGCCATAGTCTGTATAAATTGACTTATTCTCGCTCAGACGATATAATCCTTCAATCGCCGCCATCAGAAAGAGGACATGATTCATGAAATGTGTTTCCAAGAATTGAGTGATTCGATCTTGCCGGCACATAACGGAGAGGTGGCATTGATGTTGGCCACAGGCAGTCCATTTACAGATGCGATGACGACAGCAGCCCCGCAACAGGATGTTTGGGGAAGCAGCTTATTTTCTCTTCCTGAGTTGGGCACCGATCTGCATAGTGAAGTAAGTCAGCAAAACATTGAGAAAAGCGGCAGTAACCTCAACTGCGAGTTACAGACTGCTTCTCATGTATGCAATTTGGCGCCAGTTACATTCAAAGAAGAACAAAACAAAACTCGTATAACGGAGTCGAATACAACCTTTGGACCCACACCAAGCATGCACTGTCTTTCCTTTGGCTCTGTTAATGCGCAGTCGAACATACCATCGATAGCAAATAGTACCCCCAATCCTCTGGCGTGCTCTATGGTATGTACCTCACAGGCCCCCCAACTCAGCTTTTCCTCGCTTATGTCCATCGGCAACACGACGGTGCCAGCTAATAGCAGTAGCACCACGAATGGTTTGGCATATCAACAGGCGTCTCCAGTCGCAACCGTGTCAAACGGTATTCCCGCCTTTTTTACGACCGCGCAAAATGGCGGCAATGTTGTGATGTTCGCGCCAAGTAACTCACAGCAAACATTGTGCATCCCCACACCAGTACCCACTATGATTCCCTACTACGTGATTGCCCCGCCTCAGCATACTGTTGAAGTGAACGGGACAATGGCGTACTCTTCGTTGTCTACGGCACCTCAGTCAATGCCACCGGTAATGTGCGGACCATGGACCACGAACACGGGCTCCGTAGTGGGTTCTGGGGCACCAACCCCTGTCAGTGTATCTTCAGCCTCAGGAGTTATGCCGCAGACATTTGTGACATCAGTCACCACAAAACCTTCTCAGCCTGTTTCTTTCAGCTTTCCATCAGGAGACAGCAACCAGAATTCGGCAAGTGCATCCTCCATTATTCCGCTGTGCGCTGATGGTTCCGGCAACCAAAAGGCTCCTCCGAGGGGCAGCCCGCCAAGTTACGACTCGCTTCGGATTCAGATAACAAAACGTCGCCAACCATCAGGAAGACAGCGCTCTGGCACCAATGTTCATGGAAGCCTACAGGGAATTTGCTCATATTACTCTTACAACCTTTCGGCAGCGCTTAAACAATATGAGCACCCAGATTTCCATGTCGCAAAGCCTGTGGAACAAGTTCTCCCCGTGTTTGTTCAAATGTTTCCTTGTGAATTGAGGGATCGCACCATTATTGTCCTAAACCGCGTGGTTGAGGCGACATGTGGACCTGATATTGCCACCGTTGTGGGTATTGAGCCACGCTCCGAGACGTCGTTTATCACTCTTATTCGCACAAACGACGTTTGGCATCTGATCCACAAACTGCGCTGTCGTGTGTTGATGGACCGTCATGGTTTTTGGTACGCCGAGAACATGGAGCAGTACCTGCGGCTAAAGGAGTACTGCGAGAGTGTACGACGGCTGCCGCAGCAGATACGCCACTTTCAGACGGACGGGCTGCCGTGCATGCCTTTGGTGGTGGAGCTGTCGCGGAGTGTGAACGCGGCGTCCGTGACGTCTCTTCCGGCCCCGCCATCATTTGACGAGGTGGCGCCGATCGCCACGATGGAACGACACGGGCGTGTTGCTACTTTGACGGGCAGTAATGAGGACGGTTCCTCGTCCCCCCGGGAGACTGGCGAGGTTATTAACGCAGCAGCCGTTCCTCTGCCGAGTGGGGTGGGACGGGTGTGAACCGCCTTTGAGCGAGAAGAATCTGTGGGAGCTGCCGCTCTCGCCGTCCCGACATAATGGATGGGGTAAAAAAAAAAAAAAATAAAATAAAAAAGAGTGCACTGAGGGGGCAAAGTGAATGCCCTGGACGAAGGATGCAGGACAATATTTTAACGGCGGAGCTGAATGCCGTGGGAGACAGGATGAGATTAACCAAGTAAATATAACACAAAAAAAGGACAAGACTACTTTTCTCCCCCCGGGCTAAATAACCAAAAGGAAAAAAAAAAAAAAAGGAAATGGACGTCAGAAGTGCGGCAAAGTATGTATGGGACACAGTGAAAAGGGGTTCCCAAGGAAAACGCAAAACAACGTAATACGAAATAAAAACGAAAAACATTGTCCCCCTCATTACCGTTGCCGCGTACTCTTTGTCATGCATGTTACTGCAGACGGGGAGGTGCTTTTTTTGTTCCCCCTTTCTTTTATTTTTCAAGTTTCGTCTTCTGCCATCTGTCCTTTACTTTTTTTTTTTTCCTTTTTTTTTTTTTCGCTTTGCTTGTTTTCTTGTGTTTCTTTTCTCCCCCTTATGATGCGCTTGTCTTTGTCTTTGTATGCTTTTTTTTTTTTTTTTTAAACTCCTTTTTTTTCTCGGTGATTTCCAACTCTCCTCACGGACACCGAAAGGGAAAAAAAAAAAAAAAGGCGAGTTTCTTTTTTTTTTTCGTTTTGTTTCTTCGGCC